CTACCACCGTAGCAGGATGAGGGAAGAAGATGAAAGTTCTCTAGGGTTTTATGATGCGGTGCGAAGGGGTAAAATGGTTGGTCCAATTAAGGTTCAAGAAAGAATAAGTTGATAGGGTTTTTTTTTTTTTTTCCTTTGGCACGACTTGGATTTTGCGCGATGGAATTTACATTTTGGGCTTAAAATAATAAATGCTATAGAAAGGGCGAATTAAAATTATTAATGAAAATTTACGTAAAAAATATTTTAAAAAGCTATTATTATATTTTATAAAATTTCCATTGTCTTTTTAAAAATTTTATATAATACAGTTGTAACAATCTCGGAAATATCAAAAAAAAAAAATTATAAACTAAGCGCGAAAACGGAATAAATAATTAAGATTTACATTCCTTATACAATAACTTAAAACACTGAATAGTATTATGAAAATTACTTTTTTGAAATAAATATAAAAAAATAAGAAAATAAACGCAAAATAAATAAGATTAGTATCCTACTCGCAACTCTTTTATGGATCGGGCTCTAAATCCTGGTTCTCTTGATCTGAAATAGTTAAATAAGGAATTAGTTACAATATCTCAGTAAGAATATCACGCTACTCACCGACACAAAGATAAAAGTTGGTAAAAAAATTAAAACAACTAATAGAGCATTTAATTAAGTAAATTCATTTATTAATAATAAAAATAATTTACTGTCCACTTACTATAGCGAGATTTACTAAAACAACCTTTAAAAATAATAACATAACATTTATCATGATTTCATATGCAATCGGTAATATGCGCATATTAATATTTTATATTCAATTAATCAAAACAACAACTGCCCCTTTTCATCAACTTACTAGTATTCGTGGGGGTCCAAAGAGATGTCCTCAGCACGCGTGAACCTTTTCCTTTAATATTCTCAATTAGTGAACTGTCTCCATACTCCGTCCGGTATGAATGTCAAATTTCTAAACCTCAATACCCTGTTCGATATGAGGGTGAAACGGGTTGTCCCCATACCCCGTCTAGTATGAGTGCCAAATTACCAAATCTCATTACCCCGTCTGGTATGAGACAACGTTCACGGTAGGGTTCTCTATGTACCAAGTCTATCCACCAGCTCCCAGGATATCCAGTAAGGCTGCCGTTTTCATCTATTTACTTAATCACAAAATTTTCTGTTTACCTTTAGCCTCCAATTCCCCAATTCAACTATAATCATATAAAACAAATAATACATGCATTCAAAACTATAAAAGTAATCAATCAAATATTATCATGCATTCAAACTGTAAAAATAATATACAAAAATAACAGTAGATAATTTTCGATTCTACCTCTATTAGTAACCCCTAATTAATTATGAATATTTTCTAAATTGCACAAAATATCGTATTTGATTTTAATTTGACTTTAATTCCATAACAGAGAATAGAGAGAGAGATTCTTACTCAATTTTATGCCCAAAAAGGTAAGTTGTTGACTGCGCTTACTAGCGGTCCCTAGATTTCCTGAATTTTTTTTCGAAAATTAAAACGTACTATAAGCACCTATAAATGTTCCAAAAAACCAAAATCAGTCTCTGAATCCATTTTTGGCCAATTTTGAAATTCTGACACGGCGGCTCCACCGTGCTCCGGCGATGGAGTCGTTGCCTGCGGCGGTAGTCTGCCTCGGATCGGATGTTTTCGGCCAATTTTATATCAATTCCTACGAGAAAACATGTTAAGGGGCATCGGTTGACTAAAAAAATGAAAAACCAAAACTCACCGGCAGCTCCGGTACGGCGGCTTCGCCTGCTCACTTTACAGTTTGGTGTTTTGCTCCAGTCAACCTGTAGAAAAGAAAACGATGATCACAATGGTAGAAAAATTACGCATAACGGTAATCGGAAAGGGTCTCATTGGAGGCGGTTTTTACAATTTCCTACAGCAGCGCTGCCGGGTTTTGTCCGCGATTTTTGCCCATTCGCCAGTCCTTTTACTCCGATTTGACCATAGAGGTTATTAAAATTGAATTCCAAGCAAAGAAATTTTTTTTTACTTTTTTTAGCGGTCGGAAAGGGCTCCAGCGTGGCGGCGGGTAGTGGTGATCTCCTTCTTGGCGGCTGGGTCTTCTTCTCCAGTGAAGGGGGTCTGGCAGCTAAGGTTAGGGTTTGGTATGAATGAGGTTATTTATACTCGTCCCCTTTTGATTTAGACCATCCATCGCATTTGATCTGAACTGTCCAATTACGATTAAATAAGGAGTGAATCTAAACCGTTCATCGCGATTTAATCTGAATCGTCCGATCACGTTTAAATAAGAAATTGATCTTGCCTGTTGATCACATTTAAATTTGACTGTCTGATTGCGTTTGGGGAGGGAACGCATCCGAGCCGTCCGTGCGCACGGGGATGAATATGGGTCATTCGATTACGGGTACACGGATCGCCCACATGGCCTCCTGCGTGGCACCGCGTCAGCGTCTGTTGCCACGCAGTGCGTCTTAGTTCGTTGGGACTGCTGACTGGACATCCCATGCAGCACAACTTTTCTAAATTATATTTTGACCTCCAATTTCTAATTTTTCTTTCAAAAATATCCCTAAAACCTAAATTTTCACCCATTTTTCTCAAAATTATTTCCAATTTCATCATCCATAAAATTTTCTTCATTTTTACACTAAATTAAAATTATAAAATTACATTTATAAATTAATTTAAATTACATATAAATTAAATTTGAGCATTACAACTCTCCCTCCCTTAAAAGAAATTTGGTCCTTCAAATTTGTCTCTCTCACTTTCAATCAAACAGCTGGAGATATTGAGCTCTGAAGTCTAATTCTAGCTCCCATGTGGCCTCTCTCGGTGTGTGATTCTGCCATATAACCTTAACAAAGGGAATTTTCCAGTTGCGTAGTAATCTGCTCTTTCAGTCCACAATACTGACTGGTACTTTCTTGTAGGACAGATCCTCCTAGAGTAGAAGAGGCTCGTGGGCCAAGATGTGAGAAGGGTCCGGATTGTACTTGCGTAGCATGGACACATGAAACATATTATGGATCCTAAAAAGTTCTGGAGGCAGTGCCAGTCTGTAGGCAGTGGTACCAATTATGTCTAAAATTTCAAATGGCTCAATAAACCGGAGATTTAGTTTCCCCCTCTTTCCAAACTTACTAATTTTCTTGAAATGAGTGATCCTAAGAAACACCAGATCGCCTTTCTCAAATTTCAAATCTCTCCTCCGAGTGTTCGCATGACTCTTATGTATGTTCTGAGCCGTCTGAATGTTCTTCTTGATTTTAACTATTTTGGTTGTAGTCTCCTCTACAATGTTTGGGCCGAACAAAGTTGTCTATCACCCACTTTTTTCAAAATTGTTTCTAATTTCATCCTCTATCTAATTTTCTTTATTTTTACACTAAATTAAAATTAAAAAATTAAAAAATTATATTTATAAATTAATTTAATTTACATATAAATTGCACTAAGAAATTTTTGTTGAGATTAGATGATTAACATTTTTATTTTATGTTGGATTAGCTAGTTTCATATGTAATCTTGGCATCGAATGGTTAATAATTACTAAATTATGTGGTTCTAATTTGGAGGAACTGATTCCCTAAAAGTATTAACTTTTAACCAATGTTAATGATCCCAAATTGTTCGTGATAGAAAATCAATTAAACACGTACAAAATTATTAACAATAAATTATTATTAAACAACAATATTTTCTTTAAGGTGTACTTAAATAAAGTAACTGTTACAAGATTAAATTGAAGTAAAATCATAGTTATGAAACCTACAATTCTTTCATTCTCATTATAAACTAAACTCTTCATATCAAGAAGTTATGAGGAAGAGCTTCACTATAAACATTCAAAAGTTAAGGGGTTTAGTTGATGCAGTAGACATTGTTTAATACACATACTTCTAACTGCTCTTTGTTTTATATACTTGGCTTTTTACAACAAAAATAATTAATTTTATATATAAATAAACAGACAAAACTGTTGTTCTCATTAAAACTTAACCACCCACCCAGAAGAGAAAAAGAACACACAATTTTCATGTTTGCCCATAGTCAACATTCTGTTAGGCCAAGTGCCAAAAACAAATTCTTAAAAATTATAAATATCCTCTCTCTCTAAACTGTTATTTATCTCTTAATATTTAATTATGTATTTAAAGAATTGTTACTCATAATTACAATCGCGAGATAATAGTGACTTAATCATATAATAGTGGCGGTGTTTTAATCATAAAGTAGTAGTGTTTTAATTTCAACAATTATAAATTAGTGGGTTAGTGATTTTTTCTTTCCATCTATTATGATTTTATTATGTTTAGTTTTTAAAATCATGAAATAGTAATGACTTAATCATTGAATAATAATTTTTTTTACTTTTAGTAATTATAAGTTAACGAATTGAGTGATTTTCCTATATTTTGTATTTATGCAACTAAGTACTATGATCATGAAGAGATTGTAAGAGTCGTTGAAAAACCTACAAGCATTGGTACAAAAAATTGTGGTTGAGAAGAGGGGGTGAATATGTAATAGTACATTATTGGTGTCTGTCTCTACATACCCAATATTGCATTGCTTATTGTTTAAAGTAGATCATGAGAGATTTTTTAGGGCATATATATAATCAACCTTTTGATAGATTATCTAATCAACTTATTGTAGCGACAAAGAAACCCATATGGACTAATCTCTAAAGATCCCAAGAATACTCTTAATAATTACATATATGTTAGGGAATAAATACATAAAATAAACAGACGTTAATATATAATTTAGTAGCCTAAACCAAAAAGTTGCATGAAACAATTGGGTACACGTAAGTGACAAACTAAACCCACAATCTTATCCTATTTTAGTAGAGTGGTTAGAGCAGTTGAAGAAACATTAAGAGTAAGTTTTATCTTCTTGAGATAAATTAAAAATATATATTCTTAATACATATATATATATATATAATATTTTGTTTATATGAAGACTGGGGTAGCCCAATTAGGTTCGTCCAATTTCCAGAAAAAGTGTAAGCAGGTAAAGATGAGAGAATCATCAAAGACTGGATGGAAGCCATTGACGGGCCAAGTGTTGCTCCGTTGAAGACGAAACAATTTTAGGGCAAATCACGAGACCATGCCGGCCATCGAAGTCGGAAGTGTCGAAGAACTTGGCTCCCTTACCGTCATTTCGGCGATTATCATTCTCCGACCTCAGTCGATCATCTTCTGCGCGAATCAACGAGGAGCTCGCTCAGTCCTTTGGGCCTGATTTGTATGATTTCCAATTGATGGAGTTGCGTGCCATAACGCAGAATTTTTCGACGAATTTTCTGCTGGGAGAAGGTGGGTTCGGGAGAGTGCACAAGGGTTATGTAGATGAGAATTTAAGACAGGGCTTGAAGGCTCAACCTGTAGCGGTTAAGCTTCTGGACATTGAAGGCCTCCAAGGTCACCGGGAATGGCTGGTAATTAATTAAGTAATTTATCACATATATATATACATATATTCTTCTGGTTTCATGTATATATGTATAAATACTTATAGAATTTATGGGGGTTGCAGGCAGAGGTAATATTCCTTGGACAGCTGAGGCATCCAAATCTGGTTAAATTGATTGGATATTGCTGCGAGGAAGAACAGCGGCTTCTTGTTTACGAGTTCATGCCACGTGGCAGCTTAGAGAATCACCTCTTTAAAAGTCTTTTAATCTTCTATTAATGATTAATTTTTTTTTTTTTTTTGAAAGAAAAAGTCAACGTTTGACTAATTAAACATTTTTGTGTGACCATAGGAATG